CTTAGGACCTTTGGCTTACGCCGTACATCAGCAGTTAAGGGCTATCGAGAGGGTTACTGCCAGGGTCATTATTAGGGCTACCATAAGGGTTGCGATAAGGGTGATTAGGTTACTATAAGGGTTGTTATAAGGGTTACTATCAGGATTACCAGAAGGGTTGATTCCAGGTTACCATAAGCTAAAGCATTGAATCGCTAGTTTTTTTCTCAAAGGCGCTCTGACGAAGCGCAGCGCCCGCAGCCACTGCTGTTGCAGCCACAGCCGCGGTGCCCACGCCCCAAGCTGCTGGTGCCGCTTTGGCCTCTCATTTTAGGGTTTGCAGCCAATGGTTTTCGGGTTTAGGATTTAGGATTTGGGAGTTTGGCCTATCCCGAGATCTGTGGCAAGGATCGTGGGCTTTCAGGTTCAGGCTTTGGGGGTCCGGGGGGGTTGTAGGGCATCAATCATAGACTGGGGTTTTGAGAGGACTTCATGTTCTGAATAAATCGAGGAAGCTTCTGCTAGGAGTTGTATGGCTACTTCTTCAAGCCCCCATAAACCCTAAACCCTAAACCCTAAACCGATCATCGCCCCTTGAGATTTCAATGTGCCCAGATGAGGGGTTCCTTCCATGAGTGAGTTCTTCGTGGGCTGTAGTAGGGACTGTTCTCTCCGGGTGCCTGAATTGAGGTACCCGAATCTTTTGCAACTTCTATGTGATGGCCGCTTGAGATGTGATGGTTCTGTTGATGAAGGTCCCCTTTCGTGGAAAAGAGTGGTATACTCTTCTGTGGAGTTTTGAAAGCCGCCCTACTGCAGAAAAAACCCGCCATTCAAATTGCCAGTGCCTGAGGGGCACTGATGCCAGTGCCTGGGGGGCTCTGGAGTTGGGGTTTGGTTGGTAACCCCAGGCGTTCTCTACCTTCGGGTCCCTCTTAAGTCCTCTTTATGGAATAGTCCTCATAACAAGGGCCCTAAAAGGGACCCTAGTTCAGAGAACTCACAGCCACAGCCGGGAGGCTGAAAAGCTACAAACCCGAGGCCTCAAGCGATAGAGCAAGGACCGTCCCTTAGGGGCTGAGTACCCTAGCCCAAAAGGTTAGGGTTTAGGGTTTAGGGTTTGGGGTTTAGCTTTTGAATGATAATGGGGATATATAAAGCCCAAAAGGTTAAAGGTTACCTACTCAGCCCCTACGACAATGGTTGTAAAACAGAGCCCCACGACACGAGGACACGCAACGAAAGCACTTCGCCAAACCGTAATGTAGGCGCTGAAATAATTACCAATACTACTTTGGGGGCTCCTTATTGTAATTATAGTACAATAGACCCCAAGATCCTATTCTAACGATTAAGGCCCCTATACTAAGCCTCAAAGACAGCGGTCCCCATGCACCTGGACGCTCGGTGCGGAGGCGCGGAGGGATACGGAGCTGGCCTGACTACCGTCGTTGGAACACGCCAACAGTAGGGTAGTCTTCTAAATTAGGGTCCGTTTTAGGGTCCTTTTTTATAAGGGTGGCGTATTATATTGCGGACCTAAAAAGGGACCCTAATTTGGAGATCTACCCAGTAGTTCTGGGCTTGGGGTTCGAGGCTGTTGGATTCAGAGTTTGAGGTTGCTGGCGCAGGATTCATGAAACACGGTGCCAAGATGAAGGGTGCTTAAGGCTTAGGAGGGAAGATGATGGTGACGACCAACGACGACGACTGCGACCATCAGCCGCATGATCCGGACCAGGCTCGTCAACTTCTCGCGCCCTTCATGCTCCCCTTTGAAGAATCTATGCTATCTAGCCTGAGTCTCGAAGTGCACGGCATGAAGTAGGATAGTTTGAGATGGAATGACAGTGCAGCAATAAGAAACCATAGTGTTTGCTCTGGTACCACCGTCTTTCTAGGCCACAACTTGACCCCAAAATTTGATGGAAAAGACCCTCGAAGCTTTACCCGGAAATTCATAGAAGTGCTGTATGCATCGTGGTCGTTATCATATTCATCACGACCATGACTATCATGACTCATGACAGTTATCATCGCTGCGGTCACATGCAGCATACTCTGCAATGCCTCAACCCTAAACTCTAAAAGACCTTAAACCCAGAGGCTTAAATCTAAACCCTGGACCTTCAATAGATAAATAAATAAACAGAAATTGCTTGTCTTTGTTCACGTTGAACCTCCTAAACCCCAACAGCTCAAGAACGCTCAACGTAAGAAACCCCAATCCCCCGCGTCAGTGCTACCTAGAGAAACTCAAACCAGACACCTGAACCCACAATTAGTAATACAAAAAGTGTGCTAGACACTGATAAACCCTATATAGGTATAGTCTAGGAGACCCTAAACCCAGAACTACTGATCCTCCAAACCCTACAGACTTGCCTGCTCAGCTTTTGGAGCGACGAAGGCAAGGCATCCACCGGCGGTGACGGCAAGGGCGGTGGCGGAGGCAATGCGAGCCATGGTCGGAGGTGTCGAAAGGGCACCTCGGCGTGGGGATCTAAACCGCCCATACCCGAAGCCGGTACCCGAAGCCATAAGAATTCATAAGGGGCTTATAGGTGTTTGGTCAAGGAAGTCAGAAAGGAAAAGCAAATTAGCCGTCTTTCCGATTTTAAGGCTCAAGATTTAACCTGTAGGGGTTTGGGCTGTGGCGTAGCGCTTCAAGGTTTGGGTTTGCCGGGCTGTCTCCGCAGGCAGACGTCAGAGCCAGAGTTCTTTTCTGTTAAGGTTTGTTGCATCGTTGCCGTTCAAGGCTCAGGGCTTAGATGCCAAGGTGCAAGGTTCAAGGTTGGAGTCTAGATACGAGGGTTTGGGGATCAAGGCTGAACCTTACAGTCTTAACTGTTCAATTTTGGACAGTTCCCAAACCCTAAGCTTACGGATTGGCCGATTAGGCGGTGTGGAAGAAAATAGAAGGAGTCTATAAGAGCACTACACCAGGAATCCTACTACTAAACCCATTTCATGACGCTCAAACTAAACCTCCTGCTTCATACCCAGACTTACGGTCTTGCAAAGACCACACCATGACAGCAGCCGTGACACACGTGGTGCAGGGACGGGGCGTAGCTAAAAAAATCCGGCTCGGGCCAGACAAAAGGTGTGACGCAGCAAACAAAGTAGACATCGCAGGCTTTTGAAGGCTTAGGACCAAATTTCGGGTCAGGGATCCAGGAGGGGTGGAGATTTATTTTGCCTGTTCTTTTCTACGCTCCCTGTTTTGGTAGTTATCTTGATTTTTGGAGCTCCCAAAAAAACGAGACGCGTCTGGAAATAGCAATCGCTCGAGTTTGGTGCGTTTTCGAAGCACGATCGAGGACGCTAACCCTCACATGAAACGCATTTCGCAACACTAAAAGCTCCTTCGTTTCGTGCGTCTACGAGAGGAGCGTGTCTTGTATACTGCAACACAGTATAAAACACATAAAAACAACAACAAGTAAGTATATGAGAGAATATACAACCATGTCCGCATATACGTATATAAATATAGAAAAGATATGATATACTAAAATATAACAATATCTCATAAAATCTAGTCTGAATGCATAATATGAAATATATAACATATCATACACCATATACATATACATATATATATATATATATAACATTTCATGTGTTTGGTTTGGCATGGCTTCGTGTCGGTTGAGAGTTGCGGGGATGGAGCGGATAATATATGACATATATATATATATAGCATACACTCGGTCATTTTGCCTGCCGTCAGCGAAGGTTCGGACTCCAGCGATCGTTTGATCGTCGCAACGAAAGAAGGGCCTGGCGCCCGCAAAAAGAGAACAGGAGCTGGATGCTCAAAGCTTGGGGTAACCGAAGCCTAAAGAACCAGAGGGCGAGACCTAACCTATCCAACCCTAGAACTCTTGGCAGTAGAGTGCGACGCACTGGAGGCCACATACAAAAGGAGCGTACGCGACGCATCGCGAAGGATGGCAATGATGGCAATCCGCAAAGCTGGGGAGGCGTTGCAGCAACAGCTGGGCTGCAACTTCTTAGAGATAAAGCTGTTTCCCTGGCCTCCTTGCAGAAATCATATTCCCAAGGTATGTGGGAGAAAGAATATTTAGGCACATAAGAAAAATTCATAGGAAAAATTTCTCATTCCCGAAGATATATTGAGAAGGCATCAATATATGAATCTCTGATATGCAGACGCACTCGGACTCGGATGTTTTGCCATTCCTCATGCACGGGGGCTGCGATGCCGGGTCGGATGGCGAAGAAGGGCGAAAGCAGCCCGGAAAGGCAAGAGCAGCCAATCATGAGCAACCATCTTCCCCCAGCCTCTCAAAAACCGTATTGAAACTATGTCGGGCGGGTGGGCGGTCGAAAAATTTTTCCGCTCAGACAAGCACAGCCTTGAGCAACTCCACCGGCACATGACATGATTCAAAATCGCACAACTTGAATATGCTCTCGTAACCGGATGCATGAAGTTCTGCGAAAGCAGTTCGGAAGAAAATCGTTCAAAAACTTGTTAAAAGACGCTAGTCCTAAAAGAAGGAAAATTCAGCAAGTTCGCTTCGCCTTAGGCTCCGCTAGGCCAGGATAAACATAGCTGCGCTTCGCTCCGCTGTTCGTTTCTCTGGCCTCCTTGCAGAAATCATATTCCCAAGGTATGTGGGAGAAAGAATATTTAGGCACATAAGAAAAATTCATAGGAAAAATTTCTCATTCCCGAAGATATATTGAGAAGGCATCAATATATGAATCTCTGATATGCAGACGCACTCGGACTCGGATGTTTTGCCATTCCTCATGCACGGGGGCTGCGATGCCGGGTCGGATGGCGAAGAAGGGCGAAAGCAGCCCGGAAAGGCAAGAGCAGCCAATCATGAGCAACCATCTTCCCCCGTCCCCGCGCGAAGGAGGATGCTCTGCTCACAACCGGGCCTCCTCAGCCCAGTCCGCCTCGAGCCTCGTTGAGTTCACAATCGCGCGAGCCAAGGAAGGCTCGTAGGCACTGGCGCACAAGAAATCCTTCATCGTTTGAGTCAAGGCAATGTCACCCTTATCCTCAGCTTGGAATCGTTGGCATGCCAATGCCACTTCGCCACGCGAAGGCAAATCCGCTGGATTGCTCTTTGACGGAACTCTCTCGAACCACAGGAGGGCTTCAGCGAGCCTTCAAGAAGGGCTACCAAGGAAATCAAACGCAGCAAGCAAAGAGACGGTGAGTATCTCTTGATGAAGCCAAAGCGGCAGGCCTCGTTGTCGATGAATGCTAACAAGGAGCGGCCCTTCACCACACCTCTTATGCCGAAGAGGACAATCGCCAAAGCGAAGGCTTCAACTTGGCTGATCACTTGCAGCCCTGCTTCCTGCCTCCAGTGGCTCGCCAGTGCATCGCTGACAGTGCCGCCGAAGACCCACCGGGCGTTGGTGCAAGGGTCAACCAGGACGGCTCCCCAAGTCGCGATCCCTTTCTCGTACGCACTATCCGTGTACAAGACGATTGGAGGCTTAACAGAAGCTGGGCACTTCTTGGGACGGCACTGAGCAATGATGTCCAAGGCTAAGGAGCAAGCTTTTCGCAATTCCACGGAGTTTCCCTTGAACTGTCCAATCAGAGCTCGCGAGAGCATCCGCGAAGTCGGCTTGAGCTCAAAGCCCATTATCAAGCCGCCGGCAAAGATGATCAGGCCATGGAGCGATGCGACTTCAGATCTAGAAATCTCCTTCCCCGAGACAACAGCCCTCAGCAGCTCGGCGATCTTGTCAAGTCGCCCCGGCTTGTTCTCCACTGAGACGATGCCTTCCCAGATTTCACTAAGCCCTAAGGTAACCCCAAGCGAAACGACCGAGGTGCCGAAAGGAACGAACTTCCTGCCCGACTTTGCAAAGGTCCAGCCCAGGATTTCAAGCAGTCGCATCAGGATCTTGTCCATCAACGAGGCTCCGGGCCTGAACTCGTAGACTGTGTAGTCGTCGTAAAAGTCGGTGGCTATGGCAAAGAATTTGACAATCATGATATGAAGTATGGCCAACGCAATCTTGTTGAAGCCGTACACTGCCGTACACGCTCGCTGCAGCTCCGAAGGGCAGGCTCTTAGCGATGTAGAACTCCCAAGCTCCGCTGGGGCTCGGGAACCCCAGCACTGCGCGATCCCTCGTGTCGGGGTGGATTCCCACCTGACGATAAGCCTTACTCAAGTCAAGCGTTTTGCCAAGGAGGTCGGGCCGGGCGAGCATCTCAGGAGACCAGTCCCCTTCAAGCACTGAGCCGTCAGCAAGTAGCACCTTAACTCTCGTCTTATCCTGCAGGACACGCGATATGAACCTTAGAAGCCCGACCGCATAATCAGTGTCCTGCAACTCAAGAAAGGAAGAGGAGCCAAATGCACGGTTTACCGCCGACATCTTGAAGCCGTCGATTATCCTAACCTTAGAATCTTCCCCCTGCCTCAAAAGGAAGCGAGGAGACAACGACCAGTCGTCGGTGCCAAGCTCGGAAGTGACCTCCTGTTCGGAGTGAAATGGTCCTGACATGAACCCAGCAGCTACCTCGGCCTCGGTTTCGGATTTTAGGGAGGCATAATCTTCCCCCGAGGCCAAGCCCTTCATCTGCTGTAACACCTGTCGCCTGAGCAACGCCTGCGCCTTCAGCTGCTCTGGATCGATGTCCTGAGGCTTGGGCCGCTTGTCAAAAAGCGCAGAGGCATTCTCCTGCCCCACCAAAGGAACCCCCCGTCTCGCAGCAGGTCCACGACCGACATGTCGGGGAAACCGGTCTCCTCGAGCAGCCGCCTGAAGAGAGTGATGGCCTTCCCTCGAGTCACCGCCTCAACATCACGGTGCATGGTCTTTCGAAGCTCTGCCTCGTCCTTCGACAGATCAGCGAGCTGGGCATTCAGAGCCTGAAGGGCTAGCATTCGCTTCTTGGAGATTGCCAAAGGTCCCTCGGTAAGCACAGCAAAGATGTTTCTGCGGACGGTGTCAGGCAATCGGCTGCTGGTGTCGGCGGGGCACGTGAGCTGACAAGCCTTGTGCAAATGTTCTTCCATGGTGTGATAGACTCCTGCTAATACACCGGGAGCAGAAGCAACACCTGTGGAAGTGCCCCCTGTACTAGAACCCCTTAGCCTAAACCGCTTAGAGCATTCCGGCTCATCCTCATCCCCCGCTTTAGAGCCTGGAGCTCTGCTGAGGACCTTGTAATCAGCACCCTGTGGCACCTGGGACAAGGGGAGCCTAACCCGAAACTCAGGGATCAGCAACTTTGCTCTGACACGTTGTTCCGCTTCTGGGTCAAGCTGCACTCCTGCACGTGACATGGCTTCAAAGAAGGCCTCAAATGCTTTTAAATCTTCAACTGCGGGTTCCGGCTTGGCGTCACCTTCGCCCAGCTTCGTTTGCAGCTGCTTCTGCAGATCCTCAACTTCAACTTGCTTGGCACCGAGTTTGTCCGTTAAACCCTGCATGCTACGCAAAAGCTCCTCATATGTTTGCTTTATCGATGCGGGCCTGCAGCGACACTGATTGCTGCACGAGGTCCCTCAACGAGTTGGTCTCAGCCTTAAAGCGCCGGTTTAATTCTGACACCGCTTGCCCGTAGGTGGGTTGCAATGGATGCCGTGCGATTTTAAAGTGTCCTGCAACTTACTGTCAAAGGAAGCCCAATGCACCTTTGAGGCTTCAAGGACTGCTGCAGGAAACGACGCACTTTTGTCCAAACCTGGCGGCGGCTGGACTTTTGGCTTCCTAACCTTTGGCACCTTCCAACGTGCACTGTCCCACACACTGGGCCAATGACCCGTCAGTGGGCCATCTTGCCCCGACGCTGCTAACGACTTCGCCCACGATGTGTTGCACTGGCTGCTTACTACAACGATCTGTCCAAAGCCAGCTGTGGCATGCTTTGTTGCAGCAGACAACGTTCGATCTCTGAGGCATGGTTCAGTGCTGAAGCCAGCGTTCCAAGAAAATGTTGTTCGGATCCAAGCAAATCACAGAAAAACAAGGAGCTTCAAGCAAAGATCAAGCAATGGCTCGCGCTACCGGGAAACTAGCTGCGCAAAAACAGCACCACAGGGTACTGCTCTTCCACCGCCGCACGCTACCAGGAAGTCGCCGCTGACTGAACTGAGCCAAAACGGAACCTTGAGCCATTCAACCCAGGTTTACCCAGGCTCAACCCAGGTTTAAACACAGCGAAAAAGACGAAACTACAACCAAGCCCCAGCAAAGCACTCAACCAAGCACAACACTCGGACAGAGCTTCGTTTCACCTCGCTTGGTCACGCAGTTCCAGTCTTGAGCCGACGTAAGCACAAAGTCTCGTAGCAAACCAAAAGCGCAAACTACCGACAGGTGGTTTGGAGCTCTAAACACTTTCCCTAAGGCAAAACGGCCCTCAGATACGACCAGACTGACTACCCTAAAGTTACACCCGCTCACGACATCAAAAATGGAAAAAATACCATGTACAAGCCATGTATTCCAGAAAAAACAACTGTCAAATGCTCAGAAAGAGCAAGTGAAACAAAGAAAGGTTTTTCAAACTTTGCAGATTTGTTAGTGTGTGGAGATGTAGGCAACTTTGTGCATTGTGCTGCATTAACATGCTTGTCGAACGTCTTAACAAAGTTAGTGCTCTTCAACCTTCCAGCCACAGTTTTGAAAGTCAATTGATGCGTGCATTTTGGGTGGAGTTCTCCGCTACTCCTGCTGCTTCTGGCAATTTTTGGCGGGCGCGACACCTGGAGCTGTTTCCAAACCAAATCTAAAAGAAAGCCAACAAATCCAAAAAGAAAGTGAACCACAAAGGTCTTCTTGGACAGCTGTTCAAAATGAAGACCATAACCAAACCGACAAAGAAATCAACAAATCCAAAAAGAAAGCAAAGCCACAAAAAGAAAATTGCAAACCATCACGGAAAAAAACTGTCTGGAAACGGCTTCGCACAACCAAGACGAAAAAAATGCACAGACAGCAAACCTAAAGTATTGGTCTGACAGAAACACTTGGTGAGATGGCTGAAGCTTCTACTGCGACGTCTCTGCGCTCTGTCAGCCCTAGGCGGCTTGGTCCACGCCAGCTTGTGGCAAGCCCAGCCAAATTAGCTACTTAAAACGCCGCGTGAAGGGCGGCGCGGAAGGCGTGACGCCTGGAACGGTGCACGGGCTTGCAAGCTAAGCTCTTGGCATCTCTGCCAGCAATTAATTCTAGTCCTAAAAGCTTTGCCTCAAAGGTCAAATCTCCCAGAACCACGTCTGCTATGTTGACTTTGGGTCCAAACAGTCAACACCGCCTCAAAACCTTGGCCTCTGAGGTCTCCCAGAACCACGTCTGCTACTTGGACTTTGGGCCTTTTATTTCTTGGCCAAAGCGCCCAAAACCCAAAACAAAATCTAAAAGAACAACTCGCAAAGTTGAAGTACAAGAGCTGCAAAGGATTTTTTTGCGCTGACAGAAGCGTAGTTGCGGTTTCAGCTGAACTGAAATGGAATGCCTTCGTACGTGTCGGCATCCGAAACATCGTAGCGACACCCCGCCATTGCTGATGCCAAGCCCGCAGTAAAAAATAAAACGGACACGTATACGCCACGCGAAACAAGGGTGGCGTCGCGGGCAAGCTGCACGGCCAACCCACTGCCAACGACCTTGATCCGACTAACATCGGCGACCTTGAGAAAGGCATCCATGCCCTCCGACCTTCGAGATCGGCACAAACAAACTCGTCATAGGGGACACATCAGCACCACCCAGCCGGAATGTTTCGGACATTTGGAGGTGCTGCCCCTGCGTCTTGCCTTTTAACAAGCTGCAGGTTTTCTGAGCTGGCGCCCATCATCCAAAAAGGTCGCTCAACCTGGCGAAGTGCTGAGCTTTGTCTCCAAGGTCTTCCAAAACTGTGTTTGACTTGGAGGTTCAGACAAAATACATGACGAAGATATGCGAACAGTTGTTGCCGACCGCAAAACGAAAGCTCAAGGCTTCAGAAAGTCAGCTTGCAAAGTGAAGAACGCTGCGTGTGGTAGCAAGGATACAGGAGAGGCCCTCTTAGCTCCC